TCTTTCTTTCTTTCTTTCTTTCTTTCTTTCTTTCTTTCTTTCTTTCTTTCTTTCTTTCTTTCTTTCACGGGTCTCTCTATATAACCTACTGTCTTGGATCTCACAATGTAGACCAGACTGTCCTCATACTCACAGAGATCCACTTGTCTCTACTTCCTGAGTGCTGGGATTAAAAGTAGGCAACACCATGCCTGTCTTTGTTGCCACTTTTAAAAATTTTTTTGAGATATATCTTCTGTAGCACAGACTGGCCTCAAACTCCTGGCATACCTGAAACTGACTAAACTATAGGATTACCCCTGTCTCTATATATCTGAATTTGGGATTACAGGCCTGTGGTGCTACCATGACCAACAGGAAGAAATTTTTGAGACTAAATAGTCGATTACTAAATCCTTCTGTGAAATTAGGAGTAAAAGTTGGGTGCACCAGAACTGATGTCTTTAGCTCCAGCCACATTGAATGCAGAGGTGGGATCAATGCAGTCTCAAATGAGCCTACCAATGAGTTAAAGGCCATCCAGGACTACACACAAAAACCCTGTTTGAAACAAAATTAAAAACAACACAGCAAGCACATGTAAGACTGAAAACACACCAAATTAATTTAGTAAGATGACTGACGGCCACATAAAATTTTTCATTTTGCGACCTGCTTTTGAGTGTTACAGTGGAGTCACAAGTGTAAAGAGGACAACCTGAGGGCATCTGTTCTTTCCTACCTTGCGGGTCTCAGGGTTTAAACCCAAAGTCACTGGTCATCGGCAGCACGTGCCTTAACCTGATGAGCCGTCTTGCTGGCCCAGTGAGAACTATTTACAGGAGATATAAAGAGATTACAGTAGACTGCAAAAAAACAAACTGAAAAGGATGACTGCTGACCAGTCATGAGATGCCAAGAGGCACATGAGCGTGCGGGTGGATTTGTTTCAGCACGTAGGCTTGTGAGCATTTCAACCCCATACTCGCATCCACCCCAAAGAAAGAAAAGAGGCCGACAAATGGGAGGCTCAGGTACCCATGGCACAGACAGAGGAAGGGACATGGGTAAGAATGAGCAGTGTGGAGGGGAATTGGGTGGGATGAAGGCCATCTGGTGACTTGTTTTCTGTGATGTAAGATATGAAACTAGATTTAAAAAACAGTAAGAATTGGAAATTTGAAGGGAGCAGAGAAAGCAAGAAATAGTTCTTGTGGAGGGCAAAGCGGCAGCTTGCGCACAACAGCCTGCCGAGCACAACAGGATGGAGATGAAATTGTTTCAAACTACCTCTGTGGAATTATCCGAGCACAGTGACATTCCACACATTTGAGCCCGGTACTAACACAGTTCACCTGATTTCAATAGGTGACTAATTAAAAAAAAAAAAAGGCTCAGACTCTTAGGAGCTGGGCTCAATGCTTTCTTGCCCATGGTTCTGGCAGGAGCCGGAACCCACAGCCTAAGGTTGAGGCAGGAGCATCCCTCAAACCCAGGAATTCAAGGTCAGCCGGGCAACAAGGCACTGGGTCTACTTAAGTAAGACTGGAGGGATGAGTAGGGGAGGGGAACCTGCCTAGTAAAAGTTTTGTCCTTTGCTTTAACAGTAGATTTGTGTGTGTGTGTGTGTGTGTGTGTGTGTGTGTGTGTATATGTTATATGCCAATATAAAACAGTGACATGTATATTATAAACATGTACTGTAAATATCTATCTCTGCATAAACTTATTTTCTGGCAAAAAAAAAAGAGTTTAATTATACATTAGGTGTGTTAAGGATTTTTCACTGAGCGTGCACACTAGACTGTAATTTTCCTAGCTGTCATTTTCTGGCTCTGTGGGTGGCACATGCCCGTAATTCCAGCACTCAGGGGGCAAAGGCAGGTAGGTTTCTGTGAGCTGTAGACCAGACTGGTCTACATAGTGAGTGCCAGGCCAGCCAGGGCTGCATCCTGAGACCCTGTCTCAAACAACAACAACAAAGCCTTTTCTGTATTGGATTCAGTTCTAACCACATGGATAGGACACAGGTTTTACGGTCCACACAGCAACCCCTATGGAAGCTCTTCAGACCATTTATATTAAGAAAAATTTGTACCCCACGATTCGAGTGCCAAAGCTTGTCTTCAAGGGACTTCTAACCTAATACTGATAAAAATCTAATGAAACAAAGTAGAATGTGACAAATAGCTTTAAGAGTCTAACAACAAAGTTCTGTGTGATGGTGGTGAGTGGTTTATGTCTGTAACCTCTGCAGTGGAGAGAGGGAGGCAGGCGGGAGGATTAGGAGATCAAAGCCAGCCTAAACAACTTGAGACTTTGTTTTGTTGTTGTTTTTTGAAACCAAGGTTTAAAAAAAAAAAACAAAACAAAAAACAGTAATGGGGCTGAAGAGATGGTTTAGTGGTTAAGAGCCTGGCTGCTCTTCCAGAGACGGAGGTCTAATCCTACCACCGACACAGCAGCTCACAATCCAACCCTCACACAGACACACATGCAGCCAAAACACCTATGCACATAGAACAAAAATAAATAATTAAAAATAAAAGCAGCAACAGTAAAATCATAGCTGGAGAAACGTTGAAGCCTTGAGAGCACGCGTTTCTCCCTAAGGGGGATGGAGTTTGGTTCCCAGAACCCTCAGCAGGAGGCTACAACCTTGCCCTTAGGCCTAGCTCAGCTCATGTGCACAAACCCACAGTGAAGTGACGGAAGCTATAACACACAGTTGCTGAATGAGGACAGTAGAATGGGAACAGTCTTCTCTGAGAAGCCTAACTAGGGAGAAAGTGACCCACCTCAGTAGAGTTTCCGCGTGGTGGACAGTGGACACACCAGTCTGGAAAGAAATTCTGTGCCAAAGGCGGAACTGGATTTCAGTTATGAACAAGAGAAGAATGGAATGAGGAAGACGGGGACAAGTGGGAGTGGGTGGGGAGGCAGCAGCTTGGTCAGGGAAGTCAGAATACCACCATTTTGATTGTAATTCTGTTATTCTGGCCTGGACCTCCCAGAGATCCACCCACCTCTGCTTCCTCAGCTTTAGGACTGAACGAACGCACCATCAGGCTCGGAAGAATAGCATGATGATTTGAAGAGAAGAATAAGCAGAAAGAGAGGATAAACAGTACACCTTCGAGGTTGGATCTCGGGGCACTCAGGCTGACCCTGAACTACACATCACCCTGCCTCAGCAGTGCTGCAATCAGAGCTGTGGACCATCCCACCTGGTTCCGAAGCGTATTTTAAAGTTAAGGGTGATGAGAATAACTTATTACTTATGTTTTATACAGATATATATTTTAAATATTTATTTATTTACATTATGTAACAGGTAGATTACATACAGTAATTTGTAGATCACTTGCATGCCAAAAGAGTGCATCAGATCCTAGTATAGATGGTTGTGAGCCAATATGTGGTTGCTGGGAATTGAACTCAGAACCTATGGAAGATCAGACAGTGCTCTTAACCACTGAGCCATTTCTCCTGCCCTATATTTTATATTTATATTTATTTGCTTATTAATTTTAGTTATTTTGAGGCAGGTCTTATGTAGCCCAGGTTGGCCCTGATGTTCTTGACCAAGTACTGAAATTAGATGTATAGGCTACCACCTCTCACTCGGAAGCATATTTTGAATGATAAGCAAGGTTGATGAGAATTATTGACTCATAAGGCGGGTCTCATGTAGCCCAAGCTGGTCTCAGTCCTTTTACCTTACCTCCCAGGTGCTAGAATCAGAGCTGAATGCCATAGCATCCGGTTCACAAGAAAGCAAGTTAAAATATGATATATTAAAAGGCACTTTTACCAAGAAAATTTTTTTCATAACTACTATCTCTGAGAAGTAAAAATGGGACCTAGTGTAGGGTTGGGGACTTTTGCTTTTGATCGTCTTTATAGGCTTAGAAATCCATTTTATATCACCAAGATGTGTCACACTTGTCACTGAAGAGTCCGCATTAATGGACACGTGGCTACAGGGTAAATGCTTCTCAGTGAGCAGTAGGGAGGTTTATTGAAAGAAGGAAGTCATTGGAATCTTGTACCCCACTTGTCTCCCTCCTCTCACATTATCTCAGAGCTTTCATTTCCCAACACATCTCTCTTGCCTTCTTATGGACCAATCACTTAGAGCAGTGGGTGATGTTGAAATATTTCTGTGAGGGAAAACAAAACAGATCAAGGAGACGCGCTGTACACAGCACATTTAATCAAGGCCATCTTAAAGCCTAGCAGTCATGATGAGGGTCAGCAAGGAGCTGGTAAAATGAACAGAATAAAGACAATGGGCCTTCTACTAGATGGGCTAAAACTCTCAGCTCCAAGGTTAACCTACAACATATCTGGAGCCAGTTTGTTTACTTTATCAACCCCTTTGCATTCTTACTGGATCCTGAGTCAAATGACCATGTGTGATTTCATCTAAAGTATGAAGAAAATGTGCAGAAATAAAAGCAAGGTTTCAAGCTACAACCTGTGTTCATGGAGGCTTTCTTCACCCAACATGTTTTTGTTACAGGATATACAGAAAATGTGACAGTGTAGGTTCCTGAGAATTGTCCTCAGATCGAAGGTGGGACTTGCGATTGGCCCTGGCTGAGCTGGGCCTTTGGACGTTATCTTAATGTTTATCTTACGTGGGCTCTTATAATAATTACTGGATTCCAACAGGTGACATTTGTGTACTTGATTCGGGGCTAGTGTAAACACTAAGAAGATGGATTCTGTAACATGAGCGGGCAATAGAGCCACCAGCTCATTTTAGAGGGTCCTTGCCATTAACAGGCTTACATTAGTTTTTATTCGAATTTCCCTTTGGTTCGTAAACTTGGCGTCAGGGTCAAACTTTCCCTTAACTCTGACAAGTCAAATTGCACTACTTTATCAAGCTTACTTACTGCCCTGATTTTTATAGTGGGGCAATTGTGTAGAAAGCCAAGATAAAGGGGTGGCTAGCTAAGGACTTGTGTTTGTATTTTCCGGGGCATCTTCTTTGTGTATACAGGAATTCTTTTGCTACTGTGAAAAGCCCCCTTTTGTCTTTGTTATTTATGGAGGAATGCTGGGGAGAAATCTGCAACTCCTTCACTCCTCCTAAACGCATTCTATGCTGTCTTACAAGGTGAGGCAGATCAACACACACCAAAGGACAAGGCTTTTAACATATTAAATCCTCTGAGAGCCCATTTCAATCACTACTCTTTAGCCTCTCAGGAGCCTCCTACTGTACTTCTCTAGGTTCCTCTCCCAAACACACTTTTCATAACTTTGATAGTAAAGAGTAAAGTGTCACAGATATGTTCATGGAAACCTTGGCTTTCTGTCCCCTTCTCTGATAAATGTTTATTACTGACTTGCTCTTTCTTCATTTCCTCTCTAAGGCTTTCAACTGGGTTTGAAAAGCATGTATTAAACAATAGACATAGCAACCATTCTTTACACCAAATGAATAGGCCCATAAAAGCTACAGTCTAAGACCAACTGAATAAGCTAATTTAGCCAATGCCTGTGTGCCTTTTTACCAGCTGGGGTTCTCTCTAGTATTTTTATCTCTCAAGATATACTTTGAATGAAACATAAAGCTAAAATTAATTACAAAGGGATGTCAAACTCTTTTTCTTTCTTTTTTGGGGAGCGGGGTATGAAATGACTTAAACTTTGGCAGGATTGGGGACTAGTTGAAGCTAGTAGTAGTAAGGGGTGGTAAGCAGTATTACTAGAGGTGTGCTGGAAAACTCATCAGCCTTTCCATGAGTGACAACACAAAGGATGTGAGCAAAATTCAACTAAGGCTTTATTCTGGAGGATACAACCATCAAGTACAGCTTCATGAACAAGGCTGGAAAACTGTCTTGCTGTTGACATTATTAAGTTGATTTTCCACATCAAGGTTGAAGTACTAAGTCTGTTCTGTCACTGTTTAGGGGTTGGGTTAAAATGTCCAAATGCTTTCAAGCCCACATTGGTCTTAATAGGAAATGTGTTTGCTCTGGCCTCTATTTGGAGTGTCTGGTGTTTTCTAAATACACGTTTAGAGATACTTTTATGATTAACACCTCCCAGTGCCTGGTTTTCTTTAAATTGTTAAAATTCTTGAACACCACACAATGTATTATCTTCAGGAAACTACCGTTCAGACTCAGCAGCCATAGTACCTTCCCATGATCAATCCCATTCTCTTCCTTAACATAAAAGCAATTTCCAAACGACCACGCCCTTTCACTCTTCCATGCCTGGTATGTCTCTTACATCACTGTAAGCCATCATCTCATTACAAAGCAGGACTAATGGAGTGTAACTGAGTATAGGAAAGGGATTTGTCGAGAAATACCTCAAGGAAAGGGCACCCTGGCGTGAAGTGAAACGCATCTCCTGCGAAAGCAGTTGTGTCTGTGTAGTTTTCTTCTCCTGGGAAAGTTAACTGAAGAAAAGAGAAATAAGAACAATTAAAAAAAAAAACTATCATGGAGATAGCTGTCATGGGGAACACAACAGCGTCTTTTCAGCAAAACTGTTTATGAGGTTAAGCTGTAAACTAATTCTGTAGTACATAGCCACACAGGTACACTCCTAACGCCCCGTGTTAGCACTGACCTGGGCGGTAACACCCTCCTGGGCATGTTTCTTCCAGGGTTCTTGGATTTCTTAAAACTAGAAATCAAGTGTTTGTATTTTGGATTGGGTAATAGGCAATTGCGATAGGCAGTGAAGAAAGACCGGCTAACTCGTAACTTTTTTTTTTAAATGTATGTGGAAGGAATGATTTGAATAATCCTGGAGCAATCAAAGTTCTAATTGAAATCAGTGTCCAGCTTTTCAGTCAGACACACACTGTCTTTCGCCTAGCCAAAGAAACATTTCATCACGCCCGTAGTGACAGGTGATTGGATGTGACTATTGTCATCTTTCTGTTGAAACTTGACCCTGAAGCTTTAGAAGTCAGAAAACTTGCAACCGACACCTTCCTTGCAAAAAAATGTTGACAATCCATGCCTTCTACATTTTTGCCTTCATAAACTCCATAATGATTAAAAATAAACAAACAACCCTGCCCTGTGTAGTTATGTAACCAGAGATGGCATCCGGTGGGTGTTTTCTCATTTCACACTGTCACATCATGATTTTGGCACAGCGCTAACTCAATTCACATTGCCCTCTTCCAATCTTCAACATGCGTCCTCTCTAGCTACACCTATTTGGATCTTGCATTTTACCTAAAAATCTAGGTTCATTTATAAACCAACGTTCTCGTTTCTATCTACTTGTAAGACAACAATGTACAATAGTTTCAAGATTGGTTTTCTTAGAAAAATAATTGTAAAATATTTATCAATATTTTAAAGTACAGCTAATTGGGGGGAAAATGCCCAAATGCTATCCCACAATGAGATAGCTAATGTAGTTCAGAAGTTGTATATGTTTCCCTCAGTACTATTAACTGTAAGTATACCTAAATACTTACAATACTTAAGAGAATACCTAAATTCTCTTTATAAGCAGTCACATTTAGAGACCCAGACATACAAACATGCAAAAACCCAAGTTACCCAGGCCAGAAGTTCCAAAGACCTACCTGGTCTCTGTTCGCTGATCAGAAGCAGACTCATCGCAAAAATAAAAAATATCAAAAAAGGATGAAATCTCATTTTTTTCTTTTTTCTTTCTTTTCTTTTTCTTTCTTTCTTGTCTTTTTCTTTCTTTTTTTTCTTTCTTTCTTTCTTTCTTTCTTTCTTTTTTTTTTAAATTATTTACACGCAAGTGAACAATAGCTCTCCAAGTAAAGAGATCGTCTGTAAATAGCCTGGGCAGTATCTGTCCGGCTCACCCCACATCCTACAGACAGACCTCAGAGGGCTGCCAGCTGCTTTTTCCAGAAAAGGTTAATGATCACATCAGACAAGGTTACTGGTGCACTAGGCTGTGGTCAGAGCTCCCAGGCCTCAAGCCCCTCCCCCATTCCTCTGTGCTTCTCCCCAGCCACTCCCCTTTATTTCCATAAGCAAATATTGGTGAAATGGACCATTCAGGCGTGAAGTAACTTCAGTGGGAAGTCTCTCCTCCGCAAAGCTCCGAAGAGAGTGACTCCAGTTCAATCTGTTTATGAAGAAATATGTAAAACGCGGCCTGGCATGCCTCCTCTCCTCGACATTTGCATCTGTTTAAACTTTGCATTGCCCATATTGGTCCCACATGCAGAAAGCAGTGGAAATGACAGGAAGCTTCTCCTTTGTCTTTTTGCAGAAGGAATGCTGGAGCTCTAAATTGAGATTCCCAAGTGCTTTGTGCGGACTTTAAGTTGGAGGGAGTTCTCCTTGCCAAACCTACCAAAAAGCATTGCCTATTTATCTTGAATCGCCAAATGGCTTCATGTGTGTGGACTCCCAGCATCAGAGATTTCTGGAGTTTAGAATGTTCAGAAGTAAATCTGTGAAATGTTTATCTTTATTTTATTTAGGTGCAATTTAAAAACTAATGGAGATCGTTTACATCTGCAAACACCTTAGAGTTTTCAAAAAAAGTTCCGGCAAGGCACAGACACAAAATCAGGGTTCTGCTGTAACTTTGCATGTGGTGGAATGTCGGGTGAATATCACAGGCACAGGGACCAGCTTATAGATGGAAAAAGAATTTTGTAGTTCATCTCAAAACAACATCGTCTAGTTTTTGTCTTGCTCACACAGCAAGATCTCCTGTTTAATGGCTTTCTTACTTGTAATAAAAAAGCTGTTGTGTTTGAGGATTATTGTAATTATTCTAAGCCAGAAGGACATGCAGCTATACTCTGAAATGTGATTAGACCCAAGAGAGCAAATCTAAAGTACATGCAAGTGATTGTGAATTTTCAGGAATTTTGTTATATTTAGCATCTTTAGAGTCAGGGGGTAGGCACACACAACAGTTTATGCAAACTTTTTTAAAAAACATTTTTAAAATATTAAAAAAAAATAGTTAACACCAAATGTGGTACACCTCTAATCCCAGCACTCAGAAGGCATAGGCAGGTAGATCTCTGTGAGTTCCAGGTCCGCCTGGGCCACATAGTACAGCCAGGGATACATAACAAAATATCCACGTCTCAAAGATAGATAGATAGATAGATAGATAGATAGATAGATAGATAGATAGATAGATAAATAGAAAAAATTTATTTTATGTGTGTGGGTGTTTTTACTTTTATGTATGTCTGTGCACATAGTATATGCAGTGCCCACAGAGGCCAGAAGAGGGCATTAGGTCCACAGAGGCCAGAAAGGACATCAGGTCCCCTGGAGCTGGAGTTTCAGGCCGCAGTGAGCCCTCATTTGAGTGCAAGCATGAACTCAGGTCCCCTGACAGAGCAGCTCCTGTTCTTAACTGCTGGGCCATCTGTCAGGTGTGGTGGCACCCTTAATCCCAACACTCAGGAGGCAGAGGCAGATGGATCTCAGTCTGAGGCCAGCCTGGTCTACAGAGTGAGTTCCAGGCAGCCAGGGCTACACAGAGAGACCCTATCTCAAAAAGTAAAAAAAAAAAAAACAAAAACAAAAAGAAAATTTTGGTGTGTGTGTGTATGTATGTATGTATGTATGTATGTATGTATGTATGAATGTTATGTCTGTAATGTTATGGCCTTCTTAACAGCTGAGCTGTCTCTTGAGCCCCAGCACAGAGTCTTCTTATAAATGAAATAATGACCTAATCCAGACAGCAAATATTTAGAAGAAATCCCCATGTGTTGCCACTCACCTGTAAGCTCAGCACTTGGGAGACAGAGTCCAGGGAGATTTTAACGAGTTTAAGGCCATTCTGGCCTACATAGGGAGTTCCAGACCAGCTTGGATGATAGAATGAGACTTTTATTTCTGGAGAAACTGGAGTTCCCTTTCATGAATTCTCAGCCTGGTTAATAAAATAATTTTAAAACAGAATTGAAAGGAAACTCAAGGATAGTTTTGTTAGAGTATGAGGGAAAAAAAGAACAGGACAGGCAAGATGTAAATCTTGGACACTGCCCAAAACAGGAGGATGAAAAAGAGGAAGAGAGAAGACCATGGCATTTAGTGCAGCCTCATGCTGGGTGATGGAAGTAGCTTCAGAGAAAGAGCAGAAGAGCCCCAGGAAGCATGTGCAGGTTTGGAGAAGTGTCAGAATGAATGGAGAATGAAAGGAGAAAAGAGGAAAAGAATGAAAGGAGAAAAGAGGAAAACTATACTTTTCTGAGTAGAAGAGAAAATGAGAAAAGGAAAATGAAAACTATACTTTTCTGAGTTCAAGGCTGTCGTGAATAACTTTTACATGACAGCTCTGTAAGCAACCTCAGGGGAGGGGGTTCTGGGAGGACAGGTGTATTATCCCAGTAAGGGATTAATTATTCTTCCCATTTTCTTAGCCTGGTTTTAGGTGAATCAGCTTTCCTGGGGGCAGTCTCTTGGCCTGATGATTAACATGCCCGGATATATTAAGTCCTAAGGAAGGAAACAATAATAGTGTATAATGTTCCAATCTTTGGCGCTGATCAGAATGTCATGTTACCCAGGAACAGAGGCAGATTTCATTGTTTTGACCAGGAAAAAATAGCTTTCTCTTGGTGGACTTCAATAAAAACATGATATTCATTCCTTGTAGCTTCCGAGACTGTTGAACACTGCCTCACTAACAACAAAGGGAGGCCTGTGAGATGGCTTACTGGTAAAGGCACTTGCTGCCAAACCTGACAGACAACCTGTGTTTAATTCCACAGGATCCATTCAGGAGGGAATTCCTGAAAGTTATCCTTTTGACATCTAAATGCACATCATGGCAATTGCGTGCTCATATCCATACACATAAAAAATAAGTATATAAATGTTAAAAATTGTCAACTAACAACAAAACTGTCACTCATATGCAGACAAAATATTGCTTTGTGTTTTGTTGTTGTTGAGAAGTTGCAGGGACATTGTAGTCTGTGGTTTACAGTGGCCCTTAGCTTCTGATTCTCCTCCATCTCCCGTGTGCTGGGGTTAAAAGTGTGTAGTACTACAGCTGGGTATGGTGCCACATGCCTCTTATCCCAGCACTCAGGGAGGCAGAGGCAGGCAGATCTCTGTGAGCTCAAGGCCAGCCTGGTCTACAAAGTGAGTCCAGGACAGCCACGGCTACACAGAAAGGAACAAGAAAACAAAACCCAAGAACAAAACAAAACAAAAAAAGTGTGTACTACTATGCCTATTTAAATACTTGCTTTTCTATTGGTGGACTTATAAAGGTTTAGTGAAGAAATATATTAAACTAGTGAGATGTTAGACTTTGTTTTTAGCTTTTTGAGACAAGGTGCTAGGATTACAGGCTTGAGTCACTGTGCCCAGCTTAGACATTTATTTATATAGTTTAAATGATTTTTAAAAAATTGTGATGTCAAGTGATAGTGGCACCCACCTTTAATCTCAGCAGTCGGAGGCAGAGGCAGGAGGACCTCTGAGCTGGAGGCCAGCCTGGCCTACAGAGCAAGTTCTAGGACAGACAGGGTAACACAAAGAAACCCTGTTTTGAAAAAAAAACAAAAACAAAAGCAAAAAAGAAAGAAAAAAGTTGTGTATAACCACACCTGCCTTCAGGAGTTATTTTTACAATAACAAATGCTTATGGACAGCTGAAATGCCTGACACTGGAGAACAATGTCATGTGACCATCGTTTCTGTGAGTGTGAGGCAACAGTGCCGCTCAATGATTCATCTTGGCATTGAACAACCCGGGGTGGAGAAATCTTGGTAGCAAAGTGGAGGCAGAATGGTGCAGGTGGCTCTGCAAAGAGCACCCATCATGCAGCTGTCCGAAATGATGGCTTTTCCACGTTAGTGCCCACACAGACTCGCCTCCAATGGTGGGCCAAAATCACGGTCCCTCCGGGCCAGGTACCATCTAAATGTTCTTCATTCATTACTTCACTGAATCTACCCCAGACACTGAAGTATCTATCATTCTGCCTGCCTGCTTGATGAAGAAATGGACAGTTAAGGAAGAAGAATGAGCAGGTGTCAGTTCCATGCTCTGAGGTTTTAATCATTTTGTTCTAGTTCCTTCATTAAGGTGCAAATTCTAGTTCCTATTTTCAAAGTAGCTTACTGAAGCCAGCGTAAAAATAAAGGTAGAGTGGGCCTGGTGGCATGCTCCTTTAATCCCAGCACTCAGAAGGCAGAGGCAGGTGGGTCTCTGTGAGTTCAAAGCCAACCTGGTCTATAGAGCTAGTTCCAGGACATCCAGGGCACAAAAAAAACCTGTCTTAAAAACAAAACAAAAGATTGTAAATATAAGGATATTTGTTGGGTGTGGTGGCACATCCCTTTAATTCCAGCACTGAAATGGAGAAGGAATTCAAGTCCATTCTTCACTACATAGGCGTTCCAAGCTAGCTCGATCCACGTATAGATCCTGTCTTTAAAAAAGAAAAATAAAATAAGATATCCAAACTGTCTTTAAAATTTTTTAAATAAATTTTTATTTTCTATATTAATTACAGTTTATTCACTTTGTATCCCAGCTGTAGCCCTGTCCCTCCTCCCCTCCCAAGCCCTCTCTTCCTCCCTCATCTCCTTCAATGCTCCTAAATCCATGTCTTTTAAATTTTTATCTACCTCTAGCTGAGTGCAACTCTCAGCCTTTATCACAGAAACTTTGTTTGCAATGGGCTGTAATACATAGTAGAGAGAGCCACCAATGGTCAAAGTGCAGAAAACGTGATTATGGTGTGTTAGCTTGCAAGCGATTCTGCTAGTCTGCCCTCAGGGACCTAGCAATTGCTTACATCATCACCTGCTGCCCCAGCCAGGTGCAACAGGTATGTGCAGCCCAATAAAAGGACTGCCTACTACCCGTGCTCTCTCTCTG